TTTGCTTATCTGTGTTGATGAACAACAGATTAAGAAATTATGAGTTTTTATTATTTCGATAAAGGTAAATGATTTGGGTTGTTACAGTATATTGGATTTCAATGCAGTTTTTGTAGTTTTCATTCTTGCTTCTCTTTATAGGTTTAGCCCCCCCCCCCTCTTTTTAAATCCAGACAAAATCGAACTTTTGATTCACCGTGAGATGTTAAACACTAGTAAATTTTGAATCCAATTCTGGAAAAATGTAATTTGTTGCTTAATAGTTCAAATATTGCCGGAGATATTGAATCTTCAATCAATATGTCAGAAGTTTTTGCGATGTGAAAGCCAGATGGAATACCATTTCATATTTAAGATCTAATTGCAGATGTGAGTTACTCAATCCTTAGATCGCATTAAAGATGATTGTCATTAAATCTTAGAATACTGTTTTACTTGGTGTTGATTTTGATGGCTGTTAATACACCGTATACGTGCACTTATGTCGATAATGATCGGTTAATCGACTTTCTGTTCCATGATTTTGCAGAGTCCTTTCGGAATATCCCACCAGCAAGCATTGGCACAGGTTACAGCTCAAGCTGCCATAGTGCAGTCTTGTGCAGGCGCAAATGAAATATCAGACTTGGTCAACGGCAGCTCCTCCAGAGTCATTGATCCATCATCAATCCTTCAATCATGAAGAAACTTCATCTAAGATGGCTCCTTCAGCTTCTGTTCTTCAAAGTTCTGCAACCGAATGCGCTGAAGCTTCTCAATCCGATAGGGAAAATCAGCCTTCTGTGGCAGTGGATAAACCTGCCGAAGATTGCTACAACTGGCGTAAGTATGGACAGAAGCCAATTAAAGGCTGTGAATATTCAAGAAGCTACTATAAATGTACGCACTCGCATTGCCCCGTCAAGAAGAAGGTTGAGCGATCTGCCGATGGCCAAATAACCGGAATTATATACAAAGGTGCACACAATCATGAAAAGCCTCAACCAAATAAACAAGGAAAGGGCAGTGACGAAAATGAAAATCCACAGGCTCCTGAACTAGGTTCTGAGGGTTTAACAGGAAACTCAAACAAATTAAATGGACTTTTACCACTGCATCAGATACCTGGGACAAATCATGAATCTACACAAGCTGCGGAATTACCTGGATCGAGTGGCAATGTGGAACAATGTGATGAAGAGGGTAGAGAAGAGAGAGTTGATGATGAACCAAATCTGAAAAGAAGGTGAGTTTCAAATCAAACGTGGCTGATCATATAAGTATATATATCTTCAGTGTTGATAATTTTTGGATAATTGAGCTTTTGACAGCAGGAATGCTGCCGGGGAAGCTGGTGTAGCCTTGTCACATAAGATGGTCATGGAACCGAAAATTGTCGTGCAAACGAGAAGCGAAGTCAATCTCTTAGATGACGGCTATAGGTGGCGCAAATATGGTCAGAAAGTGGTCAAAGGGAACCCTCATCCAAGGTGCAGTGGACTATCATATATTTTGCTCTATCTATGGTTCTGTTCTATGCTTTAAGTAGCCGTGTTTGATGCCCGTGTCTGGCACACATTAAGACATGACAATATGAAACAAGTAGTTCTTCTGGTTTATGTTTTGGGATTAAAGCATCTACGTTATTCCAACAGGAGCTACTACAAATGCACGAGTGCAGGATGCAATGTTCGGAAACACGTGGAAAGAGCTTCGACGGATCCGAAAGCCATCATAACGACATACGAGGGAAAACATAATCATGTTGTCCCAGCATCCAGAACCAGCAACCAGAGTGCGGCTAACAATAGTTTGCCACTGCCAAAACCGAACAAGGTGGTATCCGAGAAACATCAATTACTTAAAGAGATGGATTTCGGAAAAAATGCACAGGGACCGGCAGTTTTAAGTCTGAAAGAGGAGCAGATAAGAGTGTAAGTACCCCGATGTTCGGCAACTGATCCCTACCAACACATACGAAACATGTAAGCATGGTGAAAAGGGTAAATCAAACACGGTAAAATTCAGACGATAATAGCCGCTGAACCATAATTTGATTAACTGGGGAGAAGTCTATGGACTATCCAATTTTGTATATTGGAGTTGTTCAAGTAATGCTGTTTATTTGTTTTACGCTCGTCGTGTTATTAAAAGATATGAAGCTTGTTGCTGTTGCATAAATGATTACTTGACCCGGATGAGACATATTAATTGATCTGTAAAGAGGGTTACGTTATTGATCCAAACAAATTATTGATGGATTTAGTAGACAGTGATCCAAAAGCTTGAGGATTTAATTGTTTTAGACAAAAGAGTGTTTGGAAATTTAGTGAACTCTCAATTGATGGATGATCTTTGCATTGGGTTATTGGTCTATTATGAGGAAGTGATGATTATTTTTAAACTGTAATTTTGTATGATAAGTATGCTTTAATATTAATAGTTGGTATGTTTATAATTTTTAATTAATTAATAATGTAAATACAACTTATTTGAACATGGGTTTTTAATAAAAATAATATTATATCATTGGAAAGCAATTGTATTAATTTTTAAAAATAAGTTTTATTTTAAGTTATTTCTTGAATTAACGCCAATTTTTTATTATGTAAAATAAAATAATGTATTAGGTACATAAGATGACACGAACCAGGTGATTTTCATGATAAATTAATTGTTTGAGGATCTAGATTCAAACATCAAAAACGTTTGAAGTGTGAACATTCAATGTTAAGAGCTTAAAAATTATGTTTAAATAAATATTATCGTGCACTTACTCCAAATTAATAAAAACATTATGTAAAAAGATTGTCTTCTATCTACATGACATCAATATATATTAGACTCAAGGGTAAACTACTAAACTATTATTTTTATTTCATTTTGGTACCTAAATTTTATTTTATTTTAAAATCATATCTAACGTTTAGTTTATGTTTTATTTTAGTATTTTGTTTTTAAAACTTTAACGAGACAATTGTACGCAACATTTATTTTATAGGTAAATTCATCCTTCATTGCTCAACTATTTTCTCACTCCTATTTTAGTCACTAAAGTTTAAAAAATTTCAATCTAACTACTCAACTTTCAAATTGCTTTTATTTTAATCACTCTAATTTATTTTATTAATAATTTTTTGAGATTACATTTCTTTATTATTTTATTAATATATAATTAAAATGAAAAAATTAAATTCAAAAGTTAGATTGATTAGATTAGGGGTAATTTGAAAGTTAAATAATTAAATTAAAAAAAATAAACTTCAGTGATCAAGATAGGAGTGAGAAAATAGTTGAGTGATGAATGATGTAATTTACTCATAAAAAAGTACCACTACTGTTAAGTTTGTCACGGATATGTATCAAAACGAAACAAAAAGTAAACATTATATATGATTTAAAAAAAATAAAAGTTTAGATACTAAAATAAAACAAAAACAGTAATTTAAGTACTAAGTGTATAGTTTACCTAGATAAAATGAAAGAAAAAAGATAAAATTAAAAAGTACGAAAGGAAAAAAATATACCGATTATATTTAAAAATAACAAATATACGTGATACATATAAAAAACGCCTAATTATATAAATATAAATACGAGAGTATGAACCAGGTCAAATATACATATTTAAATTAAATTCTGAGTTGAATAAACATTAAGAATAAAATTCTCATTCTCTTTTCCTATATTAAAATTGTTAAAAAATTATACTTATTCTTAAATCTCACATATCTATACATTTAAGAAGTTGATGATACTGATGTCCCTAGGTTTGTTTTGAATGTTGTAATGGTTGATTTAAATTATGATAATAGAGTTAGGTACTCTTTTCTTATTTTAAGACCGTAACCCTCGGGTTGGTAGTAGGGATGAGGTTCGTTTTCTTTCCAAAAAGGGAAAAAAAGAAGTTGATGGTAATGACAACAGTGGACAACGATTGATTTTTATTCAATAAAGATTTAAAAATAATATGAGTTTCTCAAAATTAGGTATAAAAACAGAACAAGGTAAAAAATATCAATATTATTTACCTTGAAATGAACATAACTATTTATTTATTAGAGGTGTTTGCGGTCGGTTTGAATCGATTTTTGGCTAAAAATTCATCCGATCCGAAAATATAAATGTTTACAGTTTGGATCGGTTTGGATGTTTCTAAAAAAATTTGATCCGATCCGATCTAATTAAATGCGGCTTGATTTAGTTCGGATTTATACGGTTTTTGGATTTTAATTTTTCAAAATAATTATTGATTTTTTTCATAAAAAAACATATACATAACAAAAGCAAAGAGAATATATATTTTAACAAATGCAAGTTTGTGAAGCTTACAAAGATAATATATATTTTAACAAAGACAAACTTGTGAAGTTTGCTCACATTAATAGTTTGTAGATGGAACAAGATTTTTCATCTTACATTCGTTGTAAGAGACTATCGGTTCGGTTCGGTTTCGGATTTTTGAATCGAAATTAAATCAAACCGATCGGTTTTTTAAAAAAAACTAAACATACTAAATTAGTTTCGATTTTTTTCGGTTATCAATTTTTTAAATCAATTTTTAGTTATTTTTTTATCAGATTAGATCTAAACCTACTATTTATATTAGAGCTGGTTCCAAAAGCAACTAATACAAATTTTATTTATAGAGCACAAACGTCAGTAGTATGCAAGTAATATGTGCAGTTAAAAGATGAAGCGAGAAAGCGATTGGAAAGAAAGAAAAAGCAGGGGAGACGTGAGGGAAGAGGTTGCCTTTTTCTTTTTGTATACCAATAATGAGTTTAAAGTCATTAATGGAACCAGTGTGGACAAAACCAAAATTCCTCATGATTGCATTGTCACTTCCACACATTACGTAACACTTGTCACTTCCAAACTATATCTATGGGTAGAAGAATCTGGTACAACATGTTTATCTATGGGTAGAAGAATCTAGTACAACATGTTGCACTCCCTCTATGTATCCATATAATTTAACCTTTTATATTTTCACATGGGATGGATATCTTGAGATAATGATGTGCTGACAAACCTACTACAAAACACATCCCCAGATCATCATCTTCTTTTCCTGTTAACCTATAAAAGCTTCACCAATTCTTTCTTGGCCTCTGCAGCTTTATCTCCATATATCCTTCAAACCCAATCTTCCTTGTTCTGTTGGACAGCAATTGTTGAGGTATAATTCATTTCACTTTAATTTTTCTATAATCCATATACTTAAAAGTATATTATCTGATTACTTTTCGTACGAAAAACCCCAGTTTTCTATTTGTTTAAAACAAGTAAAAAAATAGAACTATTATTGGAAGAAAGAAAAAAAAGGAACCCTGGGGCTGGTATTTGACGGGAAATTTAGCAATAAAATTAGTAAGAAATTAGAAAAGGGATGGTTTTGAAAATTTGAGATGCTGTCAAGGGTGTTTTGGTGAATTAAAAATAGTGATGGCAGTCCCGTGAATAAGAAGGTATTAGGACGGAAGTAGGATTTAATTGTGTATTTATTCTATTTATTAATTATGTTGGGAGATACTAGTATAATATGATGATACTCATGATAGACAGTAACACGTGTCATGATACGGAGGCTTTATGTAGAATATTAGGACAAGTTAAAAGTGAGAAATTATTTCACGTGGCTCCATTTCGTTGGTTCTTTTTTTTAGGATGCTTTACCTTAAACAGTTGCCTAATTGACAAGATCAGATTTTTTTTCCTGAAATTTTCATTTATAAATTTTTTTTATCATTTTTGTTCCTATGCAGGCTTTGGCTCGAACTGTAGTAAGCAAGGAGCATAACAAGAGCTGATTATGGAGGTCATTGGCGATCTGCCAAGAGAGTTATTCCTCGAAATCCTCTTACGATTGCCTGTTGAATCATTGATGAGATGTAAGTGTGTTTGCAAATACTGGTACGCTCTCATTAGCAATCCTAAGTTTATCGAGTTGCACCTTAAGTACAACTGCAACAACAATGTATGTGTCCTTCTCAAGCGCTGCCTTCTAACGTGCTTAGGAGAGAAAGAAAACATGTTATCCTTGGTCTGCAGCAGTGGTTTCTCTTTCGTAAATTTAGATGTCGATTTGTCATTATATAAGAAGGAGCCGTGCTTACAGCTTTTAGGTCATTGTGATGGCATTATTTGCCTATCAAATTACAGAGATGATATAGTTCTATGTAACCCTGCAACTAGGGAGTCCATGGTGCTCCCGGAATCGTCTCTCCCTTGTTATTCGTCGATCTTGAACTTGATCCCACAAACTAGTGCCTTAGGATTTGGTTATGACGCTAAAGCGCATCACTGTAAAGTTGTTAGGATCGTTTCGTACTGGGAGGAGCAGAGTTGGAGTGACTTACCCCACCATTCCAGGGTCGAAGTATATTCTTTGGCAACTGGTTCTTGGAAAGAAATTGACGTCAAGGTCCCTGCCCACGTCTGGTATTCTCCATGTTTCGAGACATACTTTAATGGAGCGTTTCATTGGTATGCCATTGACAATAACAGAAACGAGGTCATCCTTTCATTCCACATGGGGAATGAAGAGTTTCAAGTAATACCGATGCCAAGTGACCTCCCCTTGTATGATTATTCAATGTGCCGAAGTCTTTTGGTGTGGAATGGATGCATTGCTTTAGTAGTCTATCCGAGAAAGGGGATCGAAAAATCGTTCGAGATATACGTGATGAAGGAATATGGAGCGAGGGAATCTTGGACAAAGATATTGACAGTAGGACCTCTCACGAAAGTGGAAATGCCTTTGGCTTTTTGGAAAAATGATGAGATCCTCATGGAAGGCTCTGATGGATTGGTTGTTTCCTACAACCTTAAGAACCAAGAACTCAAGGATCTTCCGATTTACGGGGTCCCGAAGTCATTCGCAACTCTAGTATACGTGAACAGCCTCGTTTCGGTCAAAGGAGGAAATCAAATGCTTGATGGAGGAGATAATACAGGTGAAAATGTTTCAACTCTGGTTACATTTCCTTTTCTTTCGGCAGATAATTAAACATATTGCCTTTTCTGCTGCATTTTACTAGAGGCATGGTACTTCGTTGTTTTAGAAGATATCAGCATTTGTGATTCTAATCCAAGGGTTTTTGTGTTAGATTTTGGTTGGTGAAGGATCCGACTCTGAACCTGCATAACCTCCATCAATTTTAACAGGGGGCGATGGTGACCACTGAAAAAGAAAGAGAAGAGCAATAAATAAACAAAATAAAAATATATGATCATAAATGTACAGAAAAATGCTGTTGTAAATTTGGGTTTATCGGAATCTTTGTGCCGTAAATAAAGATAATACGATCAATAAATGATGCTGTGGTTTTCATTGATGTCAAGCACCTTTATCTCCATGTCGTATTTATTAACATGATTTTGGTATATATTGTTTTTTAGTTTTTAGTATATATAATATATGCGTTTATATGATATTCAATTTATTAAAATTGTAAAAAAATGTGACAAAATTTAGAACAAATTCTAATGATCTCCATGGTGAGTATTTTGCCAAAAGAAACATTTAAGACTATTATTAAAAAAAATGACCAAGTAATTGCAGCATCCGCTGCTTTCACTCTAGATGGTCATGTGGCCTGATTGACATAAACAAGGCAGCAAATTGCAGCAACCGGCGGACACGGCTATTTCCATTTTGTGTGGTGGAAATCATCGGACCTCTAGTCATTGTCCTGTACCGTTGCCACGAGTTGTATGTTCACCGCCGCCCATGTTCACCAATTGGATGAGTAGTATCTTGCTGTTCTTTTGAGCCTCTCGTTGGCAAAATTGTACTTAAAGTGATCTGTGATGCATCTGAGATGGTTTGCATCGAGACTGAATGCTTCGATTGGCTCTGTGCAAACAAATGTTGCGGACGAAGCTGGAAGACGTTCCATGAATGGGCGGCGAAGACACCATGACAACAGCTCATCACCGAAAAATCCTCCCGGCTCGATTATACTTGTTGCTACCATGCCTTTGCTAAGGCTTTGGTTGCGTTTTATCCGACCCCGAACTATGAAAACCATTCTTTGTACGGGATCTCCTTCTCTAGTTATCTGTTTCCATGGGAACGTTGACAAGTTAAACAACCTTGTAGAGTTTTGCGAGAGAGTGAGACATAACATATTCATATGTTTATACCTTCTCCTGTCTAGAGAAAACAAGTGGCCTAACCTGATCGCAGATGTTATCAAGAATTAGATCATCCAAGTGTGGAGCAGAGGAACCTGAGAGAAAGACACCGGAATCGAAGCGTAAGTTGGTCTTTTTTGAAATTTTGATATCCGGATTGTTAGCATCCGGTACATATGTTGAATGTACCTGTTTGATAAGGTCAAGGCAGAGGTAGCGCTTGGTGTCCCTCCTAAGCCCTTCAGGCAAGTCTTTGATTATATCCATTTCATCTTCTCCTCCCAGAGTTACCCGTTTCTGGCGTTCGAAGTGGCGAACTCTTTGTCTCAAACTGTCGACGCTTCATCCACCATTCAATGTCTCGACATCTAAGCTGCATTTTTCTCTTCTTTGCCATGACTGCGTGCAAGAAGACCTTGATCACGAAAGGATCAATCTGTCGTCAGTTCACATCGGCAATGGAAAACTTGAAGATATTAAATAACTCCATGGAAAAATATGAGTTTTTGAGTGATCACCTGGATGTTTACAATCAACAAAGTGAAAAGCAGCAACCCAGCAAGCACAATGCATATACTAAAGATCACTTCTAACCAGTGACTTGGTTCAAGATCTTTTCCAAAGGTGCTGCAAATTGATATATATATATACATGAAGCTTGAACCAACAAAATCACAAGGAAATGGACTACATGGATTCGAGAAATTAGTGTACCTGAGAGACATTAAACCCCAAAAAATGGGATAAAAGATTTTAACAGCAAGAGAATTGCTTGAAACAACAGGAAGGGCCACTGATAAATCCCATAATTGAAAGGTCCATCAACATCTAACACAATGGTTGGCCTACAAGTTTTGTTGAATTGCCACCTCAAGCATTGCCAACAGCTTCAGCAGCAGGAAATAAACCCCGGTAACACACCTCATCGGAGCAAGACAACGACTGCTTGTTTCTCCCACACTGTTGCCGAAGACATGACACCACGCGTTGTATCGCAAGTACATACCAGCACCCTCCGGCAACCTTGATGCAAAAAAAGGAAGAGAAATTGATCCCCAATGTTCACTGGTGTTTGTGAAAATGCAAGTTGAACAACTTACATGAGAGGCTATGAAGTAGGCATGAGATTAAGGCCAAAACCCCACCAAATGGTGCCGAAGATAACCTGTGACCTTTGCATCCTTCTCATTAAGCAATGCTGTGGTAAACTTTTGGGAGGAATTGGAACAAGAAGATCAATCATATCATATCGTCATTAAGCTTCATTTGCTCTTCCCTATTAGTTTTGGTACAACTAACCAGACACTGCCTGCAAACAACAGACAAATTCTTTTAACCACGTGTATAAATATCGATCACAGGATCCCAAAATAGCAAAATGAATTATTTTTAAAAGTGGGATTTGTGGCACCCACTTAATATTCTTCACTTTTTGGGATTCATCAGAATTAATAATCAATCAATTACCCTAAAAGCTTGTGGATGAAAGTAAAAGAAAACCATGCCTCTAATGGTTCAGGAAAGCATTGCAAAATCTGGTGGAAAGCATGGCATCATTAACCTAAAATAAATTATTCATTTGTAAAACCATAGATGAATATTGTACCATCTCAATGAAATGAGCAAAAATCCAAAATCCCCAGCAAACCATTTTCTGTTTGATGTGATAATATATTCACAGTTTTGCTTTTATGAAAAGATCATAATGTAAAATTATTATAAAATCAAAACAATATCGTTCATGTACAAACAGGCTTTACGGGAAGATTAGGAGAAGAGAAAACCTGAGGAACTGGGAGAATGACGAAGGCATCAAACCAGAAGCCCTTAAGGGAACGAATGTAGCGAGCAGCAATGGAACGTGGATCCCACACGAGTTTACCGCAACCAACGACGAGAAACTCCCTCGACACGTACGCCAGCCTGACTGAAGCCAAAGGTGGAACAAATGGACGGCGTCGACACCGGTTCGGAGGAACGTTACGACAGCGACGAGACCACCATCCATGTACAAACAAGGCGAACCGCCTCTGCCTATCGATAGAGCATAAAAAAACAGGGTCAATCGCTAAGGCCATGCCACGAGCCAGCAGGAACGCCGGTTCCATCTCTGCACGCGTTTGCTCCTCGGATCAAGCACTGTCTCGAAGGGCCCCGAGGGCTCCAGAGCGGCGGAGGCTCCAGTGATCTTCTTGCGGTGATGAATGGGGACGAGAGATGAGCCGTCTGAGGTTCCCCATTCAGGAGGGTGAGCCTGGTCGCAGCAGCTGGTGGAATGGAAAACCGGAACGCCGACTTGAGTGCAAGCGTAGAATTCTATGGTGCTGGAAATGAGTTGTCATCGTTGGTTTCGCCGCCGCCATATGAAGCTCTCGTGGTGACAGCTTTGAAGCCGACAAAGTCCAATCCACCTGTTCACAAACCAGCAAAAAGCAACAACATGAACACAGCAAAAAGCCGAAATCTTTATTTATGTTCGAGAATCATGTAGAAATGGGAAAGAAAGGAGACCTTGAGAGGGAGAAGGCATGATGGGAAGGTGGAAACATAGGAGAGAGAAAGAAGGAATTGTGAAGGAAAAGGAAGAGAATAGGAGAGAAAATGGAGAGAGGAAGGGCGGAATTATGGAGTTATGGGGGCATTAATGTGACAGAACACAAATGACTGCACTATCATGTTGCACGTGACATGGAATAACTAACTCTATATGTATTTTGATTATTATTAGTGGTTAAATGGTAATTGCATCTTATTTTATTATAATATTTTTAAATAAATTAACCAATTAACAGTTAAATTTTACTTTATAAATTATGTTATTGCTTAAAGTTTCGAGTTCAAACAAGAATGTTATGAATATGAGAATTTAATATCAAATAGTTAAAAATTATTTTTGAATAAATATGTCTTGTATTTATCATAAAATATTTTAAGAATGTATTTAAAGTATCAAATGATATAATATATTAATTTTAAAATTTTCTAATTATTATAAATAATTTTAAAAACAAATTTATGTATTATATGTAACATAATATTTTTTAAAATGATTGTGTTTGGAGTATTTTATAATAGAAAATAAAATGTACATATTTTTTTTAAAAAAAATTAAGGATTATAATAAAAAAAGTTATATAACCAAAATGTTAATAAATATAATTTTAAAGATTAAAGTAATATATTTAATTTATTATTGTATTACTTTAAGATAATAATTACTAACATTTATGATTAAAATACACATTTTAGAAGTTATTACTTTTCATAATTATTTAATGAGGCGTCACAGTGTCATGTTACGGTTAATTGACATTTAAGTAAATATATATTATTTAATATATTACATATTAATTATTCATATAAATATTAAGATTGGATATATTTTGATTTGATTTTATAAATTAATTTAAAAAAAAAAAGAGATTTTGATATCATATCAGGTTTTGAAGTATAATGTAGAGTTTAATTTAAGGTGAAAAGTTTTCAATCTCCTAAAAAATATAATTATCTATTATATATTTAGGTATAATTATAATTATATTTTTTTTTATCTTTTTAAATAAAATTTTATTTTATTTAATAAAAAATTATATATATATATATATACATATATATCACAAATCGGATCGATTGTACACGTAAATGTTTATTTTAATCAATTTAAATTTAAACCTAACAAAATTATTTTTAAATTTAATTAAATTAAATGATAAATAAAAAAAATATGATATTAAATGGATGAAAAAAATGATAAAAGGGTATGTAAGGCCCTCTTACTTTAAAAAAGTCAATGTGATTATCATTTTTTTACACCTAATGTGACCCTCGTACTTAGAAAATAAATTCAATGTGATAGATTAGTTAAATTGATTTTTAGTCGAGTTCGAGGTTCAAATTGTTTATTTTTAAAAGGGTTAATCACCCCATTTATAAATGAAGTATTTTTTTTCCCCGCCACTTCTAATTTAGTGGACTCTTGGGTTATTACGGAGGTTTTATCTCAAAGTATTTAAACATTTTGGATTACAAAGGAGTTCTACTCGATCTAAAATACCACTTTTGAATGCACAAGTGAATCATACTGACTGTTGGTTTCCGAATGTTTTGGATAGCAGCAACCGTGTTCCCAGATTATCGCGTAGACAAACATTTGGATTTTTAAACTATTCAAATATAGTGATAAGATGTTCATAAAAAATCCTACTTTTATGGAATAGAGTCCTTGTTGGATAGTCCCTTCTATTTTAGGGCTCGGTGTACCACTTTATATAGAGATAGCAATATGGTCAATGGAAAATACAATACCAAGCTATCCATTATATCTCTGAGTACTTATTCTTTAAATCAATATTCTCATTTCCCTTTTATTTATGGTTCAATGGCAGATTTCATTCTCCAAAAGTTTAAGGAGTTCTCTTTTATTGCAGAGGACGCAGTTGTGATAACATTGGGGGGATATGCTGAGGAAGAAGCTGTGGGATTGAATTATTGCATTATCGGCAAAATACTCACGAACTGTGAGGTTGATGGAAGTACTGTGATTGGAATATTTCGACTCTCTTTCCCTCCCCAGTGTGCCTCCTCTTTGCGGCTTGGTTCCTTATTTATAGGAGATGAGTCAGCCCAATTAATTATTGTTGAAGAAGAATTTTAGTTGGAATAAAAGAATAATTAATTCTATTTTATCTTTATATTTATCTTTAAACGAGACTTCTCTTTAATTTGTGCGTAAAAATCTAAACTTTTAGGTTTTATCCCTTGTTTTGTAGAGTTTAACTTAGATAAAGTGAATTTATTCAATCAACATTATCCTACACAAATTAACACACACCAACAACATTTTTTTCATAAAATCAACCAAAATGCAATATCAAACTTAACAAATGAAGGAAACTATGAAATTATGCATGAATGACTAATAATATAAGAACCTAAATCTAATAATAATTATGGATAAAATGATAGAAAATATAATACTTTTATATGCTTAACAATAACTTTAAATGTCATTACAACATGCAAAAGCACATACATGAACACATCACAAAGGATTCACTTGGCCGACCATGTGATGCTTTTTTCGGGGGGAAAGAAAATGATGCCATCCATCTTGATATCCAAACTGAAGTTTCATTCACTTAATATGGTTAATAGCCTAGTCCAGAATTTTTTTAAAAAAAATTCTAAAATCAATAAAGATGAAATTTCATGAACTTTTTTTTAATTTCTCTCTGCATTACTTCTTTCATGGATTTGCATCAGAAAATGAAAGAAGGGTTAATAACTATACGCCTTAACGGATGTTCTACATCTCGGCTGCCGGCATGTTTGACGAACTCAGCAGGTGAGAGGAAGCTGCCATGGCAAACACATACAATTCTGACCTCCTCCTCCTTTATATCTGTAAAGAAAGCCTTCTATTTCTTCCCATTGGGGCCATCACCTGTTGTTGACACAAGGCATATCCTCCACAATGTTCCTCTTCTTTTCACCCACTGCTGCTTCTAGGCTGATTCCCAACTCCGGCTAACTTTTCAGATTTTTGAATCACAGTTTTTCCGGGGTTTATGATTGGTTCTGCTCAGTCTCGGTGGTCAATTGCACACTAGTAGGGCTTCTTGCGTAGGGGCATCTTTGAGTTTCTGCAACATATGCAACATACAGATATATGAGCTCAAGCAGAATGATTCAGCTTAAGATAACAAACAACAACAACAAACTATGCCATGTTGCATATCTGTAAGTCCAGAAGATATTGACAAGCTTCAAACTCTAACCTATAGCCTATGTCAGTCAGATTGCACGATTTTGCTCGGTTCTCATGTATTTGGAGGGGTCATATCCTCGTACCCATATCTACATATGTGACTCCAAGTAAGATACCTAAAGCTATTTTTACCCTTGTTTGCTAAAACTATAGACGGCATATGTATAGTAATAGACCACTACCACTTCTGAATTAATGTTCACTACGATTGTTTTAGCCTCTCATGAAGACATTAATTTTATCTAATTTCACAACCTCAATTTCCATTGTTTTATTGTTGGATCTTAGGGGAAAACTTAGTTCAACTAGAACAAAATTGCAGATAATGGCAATCAAAGATATGATCAATCATCTAGAAGAAAATCAAGCATTTAAAGATAAAATTTCAGAGATCAGATTAACAGATTCTTCGTAATCTGATTACTTTTGAGTATGCCATGTTCATTGAACTACTGAGCTACCACACCAACATCAACTAATGAAGATCAAATATCAAATAGTAGGACATGAAACACTAGTAAAAATAACATCAATCAGGAATAATTCACATAAATTAAAAAAGTAACATTTTATGAAAATATAGAAACCTTGAGGTGGTTGGCTCTCAGTTCAGATATCCCAGAGGAACCACTTCCTTGAGATCCAATTGAAGCCGCTATGGTACCACCTCTTCTCTCTTATCTTCACAATTCTCTTCATCAAAACCCCCTCTTCTTCTTCTATCCCTTACACCTCTCAAATTCTTCTGTTTCTCTGATCTCTTTCTCATAGCCTCCATTCTCCTTAGACTCTGCAACTCCTTCCTCTTCCTCCACTCCTCCTCTGTCTCTGTAGGCAAAGAACATGTCCTCATAAGTGAACCACAAGCCTTGGGAAACACACCATGTTCATTACTCTCTCTTCTCGTGAGGTTGTTGATGAAATCTGGTATTGAAGATGATCTCTTGAGCTTTTTAGCTCTCGGGTCAACCCCAAACCGACCGTTCAACGAAAGTCCCAAGCTTAACTCAATCTCTTCTTCTTCTTCTTCTGCTTCTTGTTCTTGACCAGTTGTATGAGAAAAATGGTAGCTTGATGACATGAACCTTTGAAGTAGATCCCTTGGAAGATTGCCCAGATGCATGGTAATGTTTCTCTGGGTTTCTTTCTTGCCAAATTCCTCAGCTTTTGCCATTCAAAGACGACCAAAATCACGAAAAACAATTAAATTTCATAAAACATCAATATGTAAAGACAAACGCTTGACCCAAACCCCAAAAGCTCTCATCTTTTTTCTTTCATCTGAAAAACCCAATCAAACAATTTGATGAAAGAATGAAAATATCAAAATGGGAAAACAAAATGGATTGAATAACAAGAGCACCCCCCACTTAAAGGAAAAGACCCACGTGTTGCTGTGGACAACAAAACCAAATATTATTTGTTAAATAATAGTATTATTAGTTAACAGAATAAATATTTCATTAAATACGTCTAGAAAATGGCATTTTTACCTAAAAATAACCAAAGAATCAATAATTACCCCTAAGACACACATTGACTAAATTTTACCGATCTAACACCCATTTGTTGACATGGACAGAAGGCGCGGATCATCACGCGCACCTTCCCTGGGTTTTCGTCCGAGCTGGCGCCATACGAGTAAAGCGTAGATCACTATCCGCTCATTCCGTGGGTTTTTGTCCGAACTGGCGCCACGCGGCAAATGTGCAGTTCACCATCCATCTGATATGTTATGTTATTATCGAGTGGCATCCCAATGATCGTATGCTCCCCAATTTGTTTTCGGACAATATATTCCTGAAGCACCTAGGAATCTCAACAATTTGCATAACATCAATAGAAGGGGCAAAAAAAAGTCAACTAGATGATAAAGAACAGCGAGTGGGTAATGATTTGGGAGGATCAACGTGGATGTATTCCTCGCAGGGAGCCAATTTATGTGAATCATTATTTGATTGCGGATGACTATTATCAGTGGTTCAACACGGACGGGAAACTATTCATACTTTCCGAGGAAGCACGAGGTGGAAGCATTCATCGACGTCAAGAAAAGCATCCACCGTCACAGCATCATCGTTCCCCGACTCATGGACGGAGAGCAAGCACTTTCGGTTCATCCTCAGCTACAACACCTGAACTATCATAGCAACCATCGTCACCGATTTAAATTCTGAAGCCGTTTCAGATGGGGATACAACGGTTTCATATGGCACCGCAGATGTTTCAGACGCCACCGTAGCCAGGTCAGACGCCACCACAGCTGATTCATATGCCACCACCGCAGGGTTTTATGACACCTCCTGGTGGATATTATAGTTCCATGCTTGTAGATCCAACGTGGGCTTCATATGCTACTTATTTGGCGGGTGATGCTTCACCACAAACTCAGACACCTCCGGCCCAGTTTTCACAGTCATCGATGTTAATATTTTAGCAGTTTTTTACAGTTTTCTATGAGCAGTGGGATGATTAGTCATACACCTCCAGGATCCTTATTCTATGGATGTGATACATTGTCATCCGTCCCTCATCAGCAAAATGTAGCTGCTACTACTGATGATGATGACAACGAGAGTGAGAAGGAAGAACAAGTTATATGAAGAAACCCTCATCGAAATAGATAGCTACCGCCCTGTGGAACACATTCAAGACGCAAACATCGATAGACTTGTTTAGTTTGTAATGTTTTTATTTAATTTTCTTTATTTATAAGCAAATGTAATGTTTTTATTTAATTATGAAGTTTTTATTTATATTGTTTGTTAATGTTTTTATTATTTAATTGTTTGAATTGTATCATTTGTATTTAATTATTTTTATTACTTTTATTATTTAGCTTGTAATGTTTTTACTTAATTTTCACTTGAGTAGCCCATTACTTAGTGATGCTCAAATGACATTAATTGAAAGTAAACGAAAATGAAATAACACAAACTGAGATTTCAGAAACAACAATTTCATCGTCACAACATCAACGGTTACGTGATGATAAAAGATATGAACATTTTTTCTATTATGACCTAGGTTTCTACAATGCCCACATCTTTTGTTTTCTTTGGACGTTTCTCGAATATCCATATCACAATGAATTCGAGTGGAATTTGGACGATCTACCTCCCTTAATAAGGAAGAATTTGGTACAATCAGAAGCCAATTCTGAATCTCATATGGTTCTTTCTCATTACCTATGGGGGAAACTTAAATTCATATACCTTAAATACTTCTGAAAGTCGGTATACGGGATCCAAAAAACGGTTATAGTCTTGACAGGTATAAGAGCAAGCTGCTATGACATGAGAGCATAAATACTTCAGAGCTTGAAAAAACCCACAGTCACACCACCTATCTTGTAGATTAACTCTGAACGAGTTAGCTTCAATCTCTTGAAGAGGTCATGGCATTTCTGTGACACGAAATAATTCATGGGTTCGAGAGAAGCTTGTTACAGACATTCCATTTGAAGCAACAATTCTTTTTTGTAGATATGCAACAAATCTTGGGTGATAAACATGACCGTTTTGTATCCAAGTTTCAGCTTGTCCACTGAGCTTGGCAAAAAGTGCTCCCAAACGAAAATACATCGTTTTAACCAAAGTTGTTATTGGTAAATGGCGTGCCCCTTTGAGGTCGAATTAATAGCCTCGACCAAGTTGGTCGTCATGTGTCCATATCGATATCCATCATCATGTGCATTTTTCCACATTTCTTTGTTGATGAGACTGATATAATTGTACCCTTACTCGTAAATCTTGAAGCATAGACTCAAATGTTTGAGGAATTAGTTCATAACCTGAGCATCAAATGTAGTATTTACTGTTAAGTTCCCATAAAAAATTTAAAATGATGGAGAAATGAAATTAAGAATTGTGAAATACCCATGTGCACAAGTAATTGGCGTTCATCATTATTCTTAAACTTTCCAAGATAGTTTGTGAAAATATGTCGAATACAGTACTGATGTTGGACATAGGGTGGTTGCCACATTATACTAAAGACTTCATTGATGCTTTGATCCCAGCTTTGCGATCTGAAAGGACACAAATTTTTTCCCTCGTGGCAACATGTAAGCGTAAGTTTTTTAGAGAAAAAAACCCAAGAATATGTATTTTCTCCTTCAACAAGGGCAAAAAAAACTGGAAGAATGTTGTGATTACCATCTTGAACAACTGCCAATAGTAGAACTTGCTTGTATTTTCCATACAAGAATGTCCCATCAATTTGGACCACAGGCTTGCAATATTTCACAATATTGAGGCATCGTGTCAAATGGGTACTAAACAAATTGTTGTATCGAGGGCATCCCCATATTCAAGTCAAAAAAGTTGGCAGATGAATGCATTCCCCTTGAACTGGAAGTGATGTTGCCATACGGATTGTTTGTGGAGCCATCTCGATAAAAATCGTAACAAGATGTTGATGAATGTCTCCCCATTGAACTTGATGGGATGATACTAGGATGTGGATTTCCCATTAACGAGTTAAAATCATTACACATTACTGGAGTTGGGCTGTCAACTTGATCAGCTTATTGAGACAACCCATAGTGTGAGCATAATGACATACCACGAACCACATATACTTCAACCTTTGTGGCATTCATTTGTGTATCATCGTTTAAATTTTGATTCTGAGAAACAACCATCATAGCAACATCGTCATCGTTGGAGAGTTCGAACGTTGTATAAGTTAACGAAAATACTATGGTTGGAAATCTGTACTGAAGTGAGAACAATTTTCTAGTACTTCCAACATTAATCTTCTTTGAAATTTTAGTGACCAGCTCCTCAAGAGTGATGTTTTTCTTGAATGATATTATGACAGATGATTTGATGTGAAGACAACGCCAATTTCATCTTCCCAAATTTTTCTATCATAGTAAATAATAGCTGAAATACGCCTCATTTTGAGAGTTTAAAAGATTAAGAGTCTTATATATGTAAAATCAATAGTTGAAATACGTCTAATTAAATAAATAATATACGAGTTAAAATATAACAATACTAAAAAATTAAAAAATATCACAGTAAATTAAATAACACAATTTAATATTATTACCGTATCAGCAAAATATCTCGAGAGTTGATCCCGTATTTCACTTTACAACCGCAAAAAGTAATACAAAATAGTTAGTAAAAAAATTTGGTCAAATAATTAAATATAAAATAAATATAATATAATAAAAAATTGCCTTCTAAGAACTATAACAAAATCTATTTAGCGTGATAGAATGAATTGATAGAAGAAAGAATATGAAATTAATTTTAGTATGGTTTGATGTTTGCATTTTAGGATATTTACAAGATATGAGGATGGGTGAGTCGTCGAACCTCGGGTAATAATGGAGTACCCAATAATTCAAGGTGAATAATGAAAGGCGCGAATAGTGATCCGCGCTTTTACCGCATGACGTCAGCTCGAACGAAAACTCAAGGAAGACACACGTAATGATCTGTACCTTTCGTCCATGTCAGCAAATGAGGGTTAGATAGGTAAAATTTAGTCAATGAAACTATAAATAATTATTAATTGTTTGGGTGATTTTTTTTTTTTAGTAAAAACGCGAGTAATAAACTAAAATATACCGGTAAGATAACAACGTGAAATCAAATTAGCTGTCGACACGTCATTGGTTTCTTTAAACGTGACTGTCGTTTTGCCAAATTGCCTTATCACTGCCACGTTTCATTGGCTTATCTTAGTCGCAGTATAAGTTGCTTCATATTTTCTATGTTCACCCTCTAACTATTTAGTTTTTTTCATTTTGATACATTAACTACGCGTCCACCATTCAAATTACAAATTATTGGTGAAAAAGTTCATAAGCCTAAAAAAACACATTCAGTTTATTTCTCTCTTCTAAAATTTCCCCCGGGGGGGGGGGCATTAGCGGATGACGAGAAAGGATAAAGCGACACGTGGAATAAGCATCCGTTGCAGATTGCTGAGTCTTGCCGCCTCCTTTTGTCTGAACGTGTATGTTTTGCTGATATCTACTCGCTACAGCTCTTGACACGTAGATAAGTGGTCTCTATGCAATTCACGCGAAATCCATGGGCTTTTATTACTGAATTAAATTATTGAAAGGTTTAATATGCAAATTGATTCCTTAGTTTTATAATGTTTTTAATTTGGTAATTTTTTTTTTAGAAAACCCAAATTGAAATATGTATTAACTTAAAGTTTTAACCAATTCATTATTTAATAATGTAATAGTGTTCTATCAATACTCACATTTATTAAGTGTCATATATCACAAATTAAGTTGTGATGAAAGACGGATCTAATTTTGAGAAAATGGGACATTCAAAGAATTAGTAAAATCACATTT